TATAAGTCTATAATATATAACTAAACTATTGTTGTATGGAAAATAAATAAGGTTTTTAAAATGCTTAAGAAGCTTCATTTAAAATTAAATTAAAATGCAGAGCCCCCCAGTCCGGGCCAGGACCCAGGCAGTGTGAGTGCCACTGAAAATCCGCTTGCGTGCCGCCTTTGGCATGTGTGTCACAGGTTGCCTACCCCTTCACTATACTATAGCGTTGCCCCTGGTGGATAAAAAGTAAGGGAGGATGATTGTGCTTGTGGTTAGGTACAGAGCCAGGTACCAAGAGCTCTGGGTTCTATTTCTTGCCCTGCCATAGGAGTTCTCTCTGACTGTGGACAAATTACTTCAATTTCTCCGGGCCTCAGTTTCCCCACCTGCAAAGCATCTGCCTGTGTTTCCAAGTGACAGTACTATTTCAATGCCTGGAGGGGGTCAGTAACTCAAACTCCAGCTACAGAATTCCTCTGCTTCCATGTGTCAGTTTTGGCACTGCAAATGCTCCTCCGTGCAGCTCCCTGATGTGCTGGGAGGAACTCTTATTCACTAAGAGCCTTGGCCCCTGCAAAGACTCTCCCGGCTCTGAGCTTAGGTGCACAGGGAGGCAAAAGAGCTGAGGTCTGCTTGGTACACCATTGAGGCTCTGACAATTTAGTGTCCATGTTTCTTCCGCTGATTCCCTTTGCACCTGTGGTAGCAAGGCCTCCCTAAGGTGCTAACCTGCAGTGCAGTGGTGTAAACACCTCACTAATGCCCAGCATGCAGCGAAGTAGCACCTCAACAATGCATGGGCCCTGTTACATTACATCAGTGCTTGGAAGCCTGCCAGCTGCGTTCCATCAAGTAGTCATCTGACACAGTGAGCCATCAGCACGAACTGGGATTCTGAGGTATTGAGTGATTATCCTTCTAGGGCGGCCCAGTGGTGGGAAGTTTGAAGAGCATCTGTACACCATGTATCTATTTACACTAGTTCCAGGATGTGCACCGTAAGGTCCAAGGCATCTAGATGTTCTTTCCAAATCCATTTTACAAGAAAGCTTGAAGGTCGGTTGCAGACTTGTCCCCACTTGTGAGCAGATGACAGAAGTGAAATATCAGGATGCGGGGGGGGGGGGGCAGAGCAAAAACAACAAGCCTCTCCCCCATGCGCGCCTGGACTCCACCCAGTGCCATAGGGTGTGCTCAGGCCACGTCCCCCAGCCCACTTCCTCCACCCGCTCTCGGCCAACTGCCACTCGTCCCCTCCCGCTCCGCTCGGAACGTACCAACGCTGCAAACGGGGGTGGGGAGCCAATGGCCAAACACAGGCCTCCCCTCACACCCCGCACTGGCTCTGGACCAGCACGCGTGGGAGAACCCACCCACGGGACGCTGGGCTACTGGCCCTTTAAAGGGACGGAGAAGCGTCTGGTTCGCGGCCGGATCGCGGTGCCCACAAGTGCGGCCCCATGGCCCTGCCCGAGGGCCGGCCCCCAGAGCACTGCCTCCACCCCGGCCTCCCCATGAGTCTCCCGTCCCTGCAGCATCATCACCCCACCCCGCACGGGTTACCCAGAGCAGCATCGGACCCCCCCCCCATCCTCTCTCCCAGAGCCTGCCTGGCACAATCCCCCCCCCACCACAGTGCTAGCCTCAGGATCCAGCAGGCAAGTCCCTTCGGGGGACCCCAGCGCCCTGCACCCACTTACTGCTGCACTCTGGGTCGGTGCAGCGCTTGCACTCGGCAAAGCACCGGTCCAGGTGCTTGGCGGCCAAGCAGAGGGGCCACTGTGCGGACAGGAGCAGGGCAACTAGGGCGAGGAGCAGGAGGGAGAAGTGCGGCCGTGCTGCAGCCATGTTCGCAGGGCTGGCAGTGGGGGGAGGAGGGAACGTCCCTCTGGCTCCTGTCCACGTAGCTCGTGCACGGGTCAGGTTGAGGGGGGTAGGGTGGGGGGGCTCGCTGCCAGCGCCTACAAGCCCCGCCCCTGCCTCTGTGCATGCCTGGGGAGTGGGGCTGCAGCACGCTGTAGGCGCCTGCCGGCCGGCCGGATCTCAGCTGCACTGCCCCAGGGCCCGGAAGAAGAGGTGAGCAGTGCCAGCTTGCCGTGGTCCCCCCGATATCAGGACAAAGTGTGTCCCGACCGATGTAAGGTCGGGACGCGGGACAAGTCCCCTAAAATCGGGACTGTCCCGATAAAATTGGGACGTCTGGTCACCCTATCCCCGCTGCTGCTGCTAGTCACATTTTACTGGGGCTTTTTGGTTCCTGCAGCTATCAGGTAGGGGGACTGTACCTATAGAGCTCTGAGAGGCTAGAATTGCAAACTTTCATAAAAACTGGCAACGGGCTCCCTGAAGTGAGTAGCTGGCCAGAAATGCCACAAGTAACTTGGACAGGTGGTTTAATGTGAGGCTGTGTTGGAAGCTGACTTGCTAATCTGCTGATTATTGCAGATTTGATTTCCTGAAAAAAAGGCATGGGGGAAATGCAGGAAACTAAAGACAAAGACGGAATCATATCCTAAGGCATCATAGGATCTGAATGAGTTGCGGAGTTCATAGAATCATAGAATATCAGGGTTGGAAGGGACCTCAAGAGGTCATCTAGTCCAACCCCCTGCTCAAAGCAGGACCAATTCCCAACTAAATCATCCCAGCCAGGGCTTTGTCAAGCCTGACCTTAAAAACCTCCAAGGAAGGAGATTCCACCACCGCCTAATATCCAACCTAAACCGCCCCCACTGCAACTTGAGACCATTACTCCTTGTTCTGTCATCTGCTACCACTGAGAACAGTCTAGATCCATCCTCTTTGGAACCCCCTTTCAGGTAGCTGAAAGCAGCTATCAAATCCCTCCTCATTCTTCTCTTCTGCAGACTAAACAATCCCAGTTCCCTCAGCCTCTCCTCATAAGTCATGTGCTCCAGCCCCCTAATCATTTTTGTTGCCCTCCGCTGGACTCTTTCCAATTTTTCCACATCCTTCTTGTAGTGTGGGGCCTAAAACTGGACATAGTACTCTAGATGAGGCCTCACCAATGTTGAATAGAGGGGAATGATCACGTCCCTCGATCTGCTGTCAATGCCCCTACTTATACAGCCCAAAATGCCGTTAGCCTTCTTGGCAACAAGGGCACATTGTTGACTCATATCCAGCTTCTCGTCCACTGTAACCCCTAGGTCCTTTTCTGCAGAACTGCTTCCTAGCCATTCGGTCCCTAGTCTGTAACAGTGCATGAGATTCTTCCGTCCTAAGTGCAGGATTCTGCATTTGTCCCTGTTGAACCTCATCAGATTTCTTTTGGCCCAATCCTCTAATTTGTCTAGGTCCCTCTGTATCCTATCCCTACTCTCCAGCATATCTACCACTCCGCCCAGTTTAGTGTCATCTGCAAAATTATTTCAGACTATAGTCACCTCTTTATTCTGCTTATGTTCCTTCTGGGGGAGGGGAGGGCTGTTAATAAAGTCGAGATGAATTAACTAAGATACGAAGAAAGCATCAAGAAATTGTGACTAACTGATGATGATGTTTTGATTAACTTTTACTGTCAATGAGTGGTGAAAAAGAAAACGGGCAACTAAGTGGCGTCAGTAGGTTGTTTCACCCACTTCACAGGGTCAGAATATACCATGATGCGTGCTAGGAAGAGTCCTCAAAACTCAGTTGGATTCTGATTTATCACTGGTTTTGCAATAGTGTAATTCCCAGGGAGTTCCTCTTGATTCTTGGCACAACTGAGGACAGAATCAGACAAAATAGCTTTGGGAATTACCAGTCTCTCTTAGGTCTTGTCTTTCCTGTTTAAAAAAAAGGTCTGGGTGCGGGTTTGTTTTTAACCTTGGGTTACTAGTGCACATGAGCTATCCTGTGAAAACACACTGAAGACCAGGCACTTTAGTTTTACCATGAGGTAAATGAGGCAAAGTACACAATGCTATACTCCCTCCAGGGGTTACCTCCGTGAGATTACTTTACTTTAGGAACTTTAGTTTTACCATAGTCTTCACAGTGTTTTTGCCTCAGTCTTCTCGCCTCAGGATAACTCTCACACATTAGTTATTCTGAGGTTAAAAAAAAAAATACATCCCCCTTTTTTTTTTTTTAAGCAGTGAAGATGAGGTCTTATTTTGAAGACTTGTGACCCAAGAGTAAAAATTGATTACATCTTGTATTTTTGGTAGTCTTATTTGCCTCTATCACAGGGGCATTGTGTGAAGCTTAATTCATAAATGTTTTTCAAGGGATTGGATGGTTCTTTGGAGTTTCTTGGATGGAAGATGCTATAGAATTGCATTTACTTTACTATTTGTTTGGTTGGGGGTTTTTTTGGTTGTGATTGGGGGGGGGGGGGAAGGTGTATTTTGTTTTTTGTGTGCAAATACTTTGTAATTACTTAAGGCCATGGCTTAATTTTGAGAATAATCATTTTCTTCCCCTTTATATATATAAAAAAAAGTTATGCTTTTTGAAAATTCTGCCTTTGTTTAAAAAAAAAAAGTCCATGTGCTGAGAAGAGGAAACTAGCAAAAATATTCTTCATGAATAGATTTTCCTTAAATCAGCCATTGCATTTTACATTCCTTAGCAGAAGAGAGGATGGAAATAGGAGACAAGAGAAAGAAAGAGGGGATCACAGTATCTTCATTTTATTTTATTTCCTTGAAAGTATTCTCCTTTGGGTCGACAGTAATTGCAGTTTCTAATGACACAAACTTGAAGGGAAACAGAAGACGACTACAAACAGGTTTATGGGCCTATAAGCAGGAATATGTGGCTACAAATTGCTGAGTAAATGAAACAGCCTGTTGTTTCCTAAGCCTAAGTTTGTGAGTGTTATGTCAAAGCATTTGAGGCGGAGCTAGAGCACCAGGCGGTGTTAGGAATACCTGCTGGGCCCTAATTGGTGCCCACTGTTGTTAATGGCTTCCTGTGGCTGAGTGTTTACTTGTCATTTGTTTTGTGCTTTGTTTCCCAGCTACTGGAAAAAAAATACTGACCAAAACTTTCTTTCTTTTAAGTGTATCCCTGGACATCAAGTGCCCTACTGCAAATTGTCTCACGATGCTAAGTACCTCAAGTCTATTCCACAGTCCAGTAATTACCTGGTATGCTGCAAGAGTTCTGTTTGCTCTTAATATCGCTTCTGAATTGTTTTAGCAAATGTTATAAATATTGTGTATTTTTTTTTTTAAGGATTTGGAGCAATTGTCTACTATAAACCTCCGTTTGGAAATATTAAATGAGTGCATAATATTGTCTCTTTTTAAAGAAAACCGTTTGCCTAAAATTTCCACCATCACCCATAAATCTCAATTTATTATTGAGTTTAATGCTTCTGAAAGGTGCCAGGCTAAAAGCCTTGCACACTGAAAACCTCTGATTATCTACAGAGCAGGTAAAGATTGCAGCAATTTGGGCTTTCCCACACTGTGCACAAATATACCTTCACTCTTGATCAGCAGAAGACAAAATGTTTCAAACCTCATTCCCATTCAGTCCTTGGCCTCCCAGTTGAGACCACCCATAAGAGTGCTGGATAGTGCCAGCTGTAACATGGACACTTATGCACTAGGAAAAGGATTGAAACTACTAATTTAAAATAGGCCACAGAACAGCAGTTGAAGAATAACTGATTTTAGTCACTGTTGACTTGGGTAGAATTAGAACTAGTGAGAAGCTCCCAATCTCATTCTCCCGAGTCATCTGCTCTTCCTACAATGATTTTTTTTTCTTTTTTGAATTACAAATGGACCCTAAACAGCAACTCACAGACCCTTGAGAAAATGCGTCTTATCTATGCCTCTCTTTAGGAACCGACCCTTAATCTGCATATCTAGAAGTTCTTTCTTAAATGCAGATTTTTCACTTTAGTAAATGTGTGTATATATATATTTTTATATGGGGAAACAATGTATAGCCACAGGGGATTGGATCAATTTCTTCGTGATAAAATTAAGTTTGGAAGCCATCTATGCAGTGGTGATACTTTAGATTTCTTAACGTTTTGTTTATTTCTGTCAAGGTGTCAATGTTCTGTGATACAGAGCAAATTGATTCGAAGGGGGTTAGATTTCCATGTAATGTTATGCATTTTGTCCTTGTGATCCTTGATTTATTTGTGGCCAGTGCTTTCCCATGTGACAGCCAGAATGGATGACAAATTGGTTTAGTGTAGCTCTTTTGCTAACTAACTGACTGAGGAAAATAAAATGAAGCTACATGTGAAAATGCAAAGAGTATTTTCTGTTGAGATTGAATGATTGAAGAAGTGTTTTTTTTACCGACAAAAGCTTATGCCCAAATAAATCTATTCGTCTTTAAGGTGCCACCAGACTCCTTGTTTTTGTGGATACAGACTAACACGGCTACCCCCTGATACTTGAAGAAATTGACGTCCTGTGATTTTAATTTTGGTCATTTTAATCATTTATTTTAGGCATATGCAAATTTCAGTTTTATGCCCTCTGCTTGGGGGGAAAAGCAACTGAAGCCATCCATCCACACCTCTAGACCTTAATACTGACATCTATTTTTAAACAGAAAGTGATTGTTTGAACTGGACTGAGAAGAGCTGAATTAGGGTGCGAACAGTAGCATAGCTTGTGGGCTCCTGAGGAGGTTTTTTATAAGTCCCAGAGAGAGAAAATAAATTAAATTCCAGGAGCTCCACTTTAGTCTATTTCAACTTCATTTCATACATTTGTCACTGGCATACTGCTTATAATGACATAAAATACAAATGTGCCTACACTTTACAGTTGAAGTATCTTCATGGCATCATCACATGCTTACTGTGCCGTTTGGAGAGAATCTTTATTGGACAATGAATCTTTAAATTGGTGTGATTTCCAGGAAGTTTCTCCAGTATTAAATGAACAGGATTTAGATTTAAAGTTCCAGGGTTTAACCCCATGTTCTACAGTGATGGGGTACCAGTGGGGAAAGAAGATCTAGAGAACCGCTTCCCCTGTACAAGTAGCCAGGCAGGATACCTGTATAGTGTATGCTTCTCTGATGGAATGTATTCTTACCTAAAGTGGCGGCCCAGTCACCACAACCCCAGGGGGACATAGTCCATTTTATTTTTTTTATTATGTCTAGACCTCATCACCATTAGCTAGCGCAGAGGTTTTCAACCATTTTTCATTTGCAGACCTCTTAAAAAATTTCAAATGGAGGTCAGACCCCTTTAGAAATCTTAGACATAGTCTGAGGACCCCACAGGTTGAAAACCTCTGAGCTAGCACATATGCTATGATGGGGGGGGGGGGGAATGGGGGGGGGAGGAAGTGGGCTTTGGCCTTCCTTAGTGAAGCAGTAAGATCTGTCCCACTGTAGTTTTATATCCCAGTGGATCACTGAGAAATTCTGCCCACACTAGCAGCTTCTCCAATGTAAAGGACATATCAGAAGGCTTCTCTGCTCATATGCACTGCATCAACCAATACAGGAGTTGGCCCATTATTTGATAATTTTATATTTGGCTTTGTTGCACATAAGAATTCAGAATAGTAAGTTCTGTATTTTTTTTCCTCTCTTTTTTTTTTTTAAAGGTGATAGGATTGCAGAATGAGTTAACTAGACGTGGAATCTTAAAGAACCAGCAAGATTATGAAGTCTTTTGGACACTGATCCTAGAGGGCACTCACAGTTCACGGCTTAAAGAAAAACTTCAGGATATAAAATTTAAAAGTTGGGTTTCTTACACACTTTGTCTCTTCTGAATACTTTTAAGAGCTTACTTTTTTTATTTTTAATCTGATTTTAAAATTTAATATCTATAACAAGACCTCAAAACAAGAGACCCGATTCACAATTGGTGTAAACCAATATAGCTCCATTGAAGTCAATGGAACAATGCTGATTTATTCCGGCTGAGAATCTGGCTAAGTTGTGAAATTTTACCCCTTCAAATCAATACTATATATCACTTTTTTTCTCGTGTTTATAAAATAACAGAAATCTTGGATTTAGAAAGAAGAAAAGGAAAAAGAAATTAAATTTAAAATAGAGGCAAAAAAATTCATAAAGAAACATGGTTTTAGTAATCGTAAGGAACAAGAAACACTAAAGCTAGTGTGTATAGATGTAAGTCTTAATGTTATTTTGCAAATGGAATCCCTAAACAGCCTAAGACGTATTTGAAAAAGCTGGTTTTAGGATTAACACTAATTTTAATATTGTATTGCACTCATAATCATTTGAAGGAGGAAAATGAGGAAATAATTAGTCAACATAAGATTATTGCGATCATTAATATCATTTGTACAATTCTATCCTTTAAAAATATAATTGAAACCTGTTGCCAACTGTGACTTTTCCCACACCTGAAGAAGAGCTCAGTGTAGCTCGAAAGCTCATCTCTCTCACTAACAGAAGTTGGTCCCATAAAAGATATTCACCAACCTTGTCTCTCTACTATCCTGGGACCAACACGACTATAACAACACTGCAACCAAGTTGTGCTCATAGGTAGTCTATATAACCATGTGTTTCTCTCATTGTTACCCTTGCCCTTCCTCCTCCACTCCCTCCATTTGTTTTGCACCCATTTGTCGCATCATGTCTTAATTTGGGCCTCGATCCTGCAAACATGCACATGGGTAAATTTATTCATGTCAGTAGTACCACTGAACTAAACGAGACTGCTCCCATGAATAAAGTTACACACACATCTGTTTGTAGGATTCAACCTCCGAGAGAGAGATATCATCAGCTGATGTAAGTCAGTGTAGATGCATTGATTTCAAGGGAGCTTCATCAGTCTATGCCACCAGAGAATCTGGAATGTATCTTTCTTTGTGGCACAATGGGGCTCTGATTTTTTGGGACCTCTGAGTGCTACTATAATAAAAATAAGTTATTTATTACATTTACTATTTATCTCTGTCCAGTCTAAAAGTCTGGTACCAAAGAGTATGAAAACTCTATACTTGAATCACTTTTATCCCTGTCACAAACCATTTTCTTACTTAATCTTTGAGAATCTGACTCATGAGCATCATCATAATCATAATATATCGGCTCCAAAGCCCATTGAAGTTAGTGGAAAGGCCCCTATAGACTGCAGTGGGCATTGAATCAAGCACAATATAAATACATTTTCCCTTTATTTAATCCCATTTTCACAGAAAACAAAACTACAGCAGAGAACCCAACAGGGCAATTTATGCTTGAGAACCAACTGTTTCTTCCCCCTTAATTTTTTTTAGCATCTAAACACAATTGAAGGAATGCAGTAACGTTATTCAGTTTAGATTTAAGTTTTGTATATTCAGGTACATTTTTGTATTCTGCTTATATATAAAATCTATAGTAAATAGATTACATTTTTAAAAAGCTTTGCAAAACCCAGTGGCCCTGATTTTCAAAAGTCCAATGCATAATTGAGCACACACAAATATGAACATAACCTAGGCAAATGACTATCAATCTTTATGATTGTGCATGCAAACTTGGGGTGCAGATGTGCAATGGACATTGAAAATGAGTCCAATGTAAATAAAAATACTCTTGAATATGTCTTAAATTTCATTTTAAAAGTTTTATTTAAATATTCTCCTGCAGTTGCCATGAACCAAGATGCAACAGATTTGTGGTGTTTGTGAGAACAAGAAAGCATCTATATTATATAACATTTTACATATACTGATGTGTTTTATGTTTGTGTGCGTACATCTACAAGACTCTGACATACGTTTGGTTTTTATTTTACATATTAAAACCTCTTGAAACTGAAAGAAAGAGAAACTGATTAGAATTATAAGTGAATCTGAAGTCTAATTCTATTGCCCAAGGAGAGTGAAAAGAAAAAGTAAATATTGAAAAGTTATTTCCTTGACCATTAACCCCCGACTGTATTTTTTACCATGGGCAATTGTCAGTTCATAAATTTTTTTTCTTTTGCTATTCATGGATATAATATCATTTTTACACACACATGAACTGATATGGTTGTGTTATATTTAATCATTTGTGTTTTATAATTTTATATATTTTCTAACAAAAGTTTTAATTTGTCACTAATATGTGGCTATTTAAATTGGAGCAGGGTTTGCCTGGGCCACGTGCCTCACTGCTACAGTTTGTTTGAGTGTTAGAGACTAAGACTATAGCACATCTTTCTTTAAAATAAGTAGAATATTTTTTAGTCTGAAAAGAATAAATGTCGTGGGTTCGCATGGTATTAATCCATAGGGAAGATGTTAGTTTGTCTCACAAAGGTAAGCAAAATGTTCTACATGGCTGCTCCCCGGTGAAACCCTCACTTGTAAATGGACAACCCAATAGAACTGACCTTGCAGCATTGTTAGGACCCTCTAGTGGGGAGGGATGGGCAATACTATGCAGCCACAAACCAGGGGATCAATGATCATACAGCCACTGAACTAACCATGCTGCCATTTTTAAGGTGTCCCCAGGAGAACATGCAGCAGGCCATGTGCTGCATGAGGTTGGAGCCAGGATTTCCTGTGGAATTTTGGGTGGTGCATGCTTGTAAACCTTGTAAACCAGAGTAATAGTAATAGGATGAAATTTAATAGTGAAAAGTGCAAGGTCATGCATTTAGGGATTAATAACAAGAATTTTTGTTATAAGCTGGGGATGCATCAGTTGGAAGTAACAGAGGAGGAGAAGGACCTTGGAGTATTGGTTGATCACAGGATGACTATGAGCTGCCAGTGTGATATGGCTGTGAAAAAAGCCAATGCGGTCTTGGGATGCATCAGGCGAGGTATTTCCAGTAGAGATAAGGAGGTGTTAGTACCATTATACAAGGCACTGGTGAGACCTCATCTGGAATACTGTGTGCAGTTCTGGTCTCCCATGTTTAAGAAGGATGAATTCAAACTGGAACAGGTACAGAGAAGGGCTACTTGGATAATCCAAGGAATGGAAAACCTGTCTTGTGAAAGGAGACTCAAAGAGCTTGGCTTGTTTAGCCTAACCAAAAGAAGGCTGAGGGGAGATATGATTGCTCTCTATAAATATATCAGATGGATAAATACCAGGGAGGGAGAGGAATTATTTAAGCTTAATACCAATGTGGACACAAGAACAAATGGATATAAACTGGCCATCAGGAAGTTTAGACTTGAAATTAGATGAAGGTTTCTAACCATCAGAGAAGTGAAGTTCTGTAACAGCCTTCCAAGGGGAGCAGTGGGGACAAAAGACATATCTGGCTTCAAGACTAAGCTTGATAAGTTTATGGAAGGGATGGTATGATGGGATAGCCTGATTTTCGCAATTAATTGATCTTTGGGCATATTTACCGCTAATAGTCAATGGCCTGTGATAGGATGTTAGATGGGGTGGGATCTGAGTTACTACAGAGAATTCTTTCCTGGGTGTCTGGCTGGTGAGTCTTGCCCACATGCTCAGGGTTTAGCTGATCACCATATATGGGATCGGGAAGGAATTTTTCTCCAGGGCAGATTGGCAGAGGCCCTGGGGGGTTTTCACCTTCCTCTGCAGCAGGGGGCAAGGGTCACTTGCTGGAGGATTCTCTGCACCTTGAAGTCTTTAAACGATTTGAGGACTTCAATAGCTCAGACACAGGAGTGGATGAGTGAGATTCTGTGGCCTGTGTTGTGCAGGAGGTCAGACTAGATGATCATAATGGTCCCTTCTGACCTTAAAGTCTGATTCTATGATTCCAAGGTCAAACCCCAGCCCTTGCCTCGTCCATGTGGCTGCTGGTTTCTCTTTTCTTCCACTCCCCTTTCACAGAGGACACCCAGCTTGGTTTTCAGTGTGTCAAAATAGCAATCTTGCTATTTTATGGGGGTTTTGTTCCCTTTGGTGAGTTTTTCCGTAGAAGGGGGTGATTTGACCCTTTACTCTGGGAGAAAATGTTTGCTATAAACATGCTTTGAGGCTAGAATTAGAGTTGCAAGTTCTTGAAGTAAAAGTGGAAAGAGTGAATCCTCAAGACTCGAGCAAATAGGAAGATAAATTATATTGAGTTAATACAATTAAAAAAATCACATTTTAGTTGAGAGGCAACATTATTTATAACACAGGGAGAAATTGTTATTACTGTTATCCCTGTTGACCAGAGTGGCTAGTCAAAAATTCGAGGTCTAGCAGGCTGTTTCAGTTAGGGAGAGAAATTGGTGATATTTGGGTATTTCTTTGATGCAGTTTTGTTTATCTACAAAGACTGTACAAAGTTCTGTGTCTCTGAATGACTCAGATAACAGGAAACAGTTTCTTTTACTCATAGCTCTAAGAACCCACTCATTTCATCCTGCACACTTGACCCAAAAACCTGTCCCCATGTTTTTTTCCAAGGACAACTACCAGGCTTTCAGCTGTTCGCTCGCTCCCTCTCTCTGTCATTCCCAGTTTTTGTTTTTGTCTGTTCTGGCTTTCCACACAGATATATATACCACTACCCAAAAGAATACTCAGCAAAAGCTCCCTGATACTCTTTTTGTCTTAGGTGGGGGCTTTTCCGTATAGTCATGTTAATTGAAGCGTGAGTTTACACCTATCTATTTCAATGAGGTTTTATCTCAACCCAGAACAAGATTTCACTCAGCTCATGACATTGTTACTGAGATTTTGATGTTACTTTCCAGTGGTTGCAGCTAAGTCTTTTCCTTCACATCCTGTTGTGAGAACCGGTGCAGCACAGTCAGCAAATGTCCTTCTGAACAACCGATGTGGGCAGCTGAAAACGGTAAGTAACAGTTTTGTATTAAGAAACTTGTGCTTTCAAATAATGCTACTTTAATGACCTAGTTCTTGCTCTGTCTAGGACTGATGCTCCCTGTGTCCAAAGTCCATTGGGTGTAAGAGTGGCAGGGGAAGCTGCTGGGAGGCAACCATAACTGATTCCAAGATTCCGTGGCCCAATCTGCACCAGCAATGGTCCTGGTGGGAGCTGCTCTAGGAGGCTGCTCAACTTAGGCCACTGTCATATGTTTCCTTAGGAGCTTTCTTCTCTGCCCCTTCTCAGCTCCTTCTGTAGTATGCACCCTGCGCCTGGGTTGTGGGGGGGAATGGGGCTGGCTGAAACATTGGCTTCACTGGCTTTACATCGGTTGAGGGTCCCCCTCCCAGGAAGATACCAAGTAGCACAAAGGGGGCAGACTGTATTTGAGAATCTGTCCCACTCTCTGTCCTTCCAGTTTCTTATATTTGTGCCCATCGCCATAGTGTCAGTCCTGGAGCACTTCCCAAAAGCAAAGAATAAGAAGGAATGGATCTCACTCTTCCTTCCCTGCCAGCAGAAGACTGGCTTGGGATTGTCGTTTCATTTTATGGTTGTTTGAGAGTGAAGTTACTATTGTCTCACTGAGGCTAGGTCTACACTACCCGCCTGAATCGGTGGGTAGAAATCGACCTCTCGGGGATCGATTTATCGCGTCTCGTCGGGACGCAACGGTCGATCCCCGAATCGACCCTCTTACTCCACCAGCGGAGGTGGGAGTAAGCGCCGTCGATGGGAAGCCGCAGAGGTTGATTTTGCCGCCATCCCTACAGCGGGGTAAGTCGGCTGCGATACGTTGAATTCAGCTACACGAATAGCGTAGCTGAATTTGCCTATCTTAAATCAACCCCCCCCCCCCTTAGTGAAGACCTGCCCTGACTGTGCCTGTAAAATGGGAATGACAACATATCATATAGGGTTTTGGAAGAATTAATTAACAATGCTTACTTAAAGTTCTGAAAGTTGCTTTTAAACAACAACAAAAAAAAGCACTGTGTAAAAATGTGGTGACCCTACAGCTGGGAGGATCACCTCCCTGTCTATATTCTATGTCTTCTGCCTTTCACGCACAGTGCCTATGGAGAATGGAACAGATGGGGGAGTCTGAGGGTCTATACATGGAGGAGGAGGGCAGGTGCTTGGAAGAAGCATTTTCTGAGGGGAGAAGCTGATTTAAAAATGTCAGTACAACATTTTCCCTTCCCACCTGCTATTGCGCAGTGTATCCTGTATGCCAGTTGGCTGCAGCCCCAGAGACCACTGTGTTTTGCTTATGATGTACATGTCTAATTGTTTAATATTAGTCATAATGATATCTTCAGCACAAATGAAAGCTTTCTGATGGTCTTGTGTTGCAGTGACTGTTTTTAAGGGTGAGTGAGTGTTGCACACCCAACGTCACTGAGAAAGCTCACTCATGCTCCTGGATCCTGTTATACTTTTTTCGCAAATTGATCCAACACTTCCCAGAATGCTGCTTTGGTGGAAAAACCTTTTATGGTGATGTGGCAACCAAAACTGCATGGAAGGAAAGGGTGGGAGGGGATGATGGAAGGCAAAGATGTTTCCTAATTTACCTCAGACCCCTTCTTCCCCCTCCCACTTGCTTCCCCCTTTGTGTACAGTTCACCAGCTGTGCCCTGTGAGATGAGCTGGGGTGGGCTGGGTCCTTCACACCTCTGTGCAATGAACACATCACTCTTCCAATCTGCTAGACATAGCAGTATTTCTTGGGCCAGTCTGTCAGGTTGTTGAACGTAACTGAAGGTTTAATTTGCAGTTTGCATTCTTTTCCAGGGTACTACATGCTCTGGAGAGAAGTCAAAAACAGTCTTATGATTATGGATTTAGTGGTTACATCTGTCTGTTTTTTAATTTGATGAAGTCAGTTCTGTCCAAAAGACATTTCATATACCGGACACCTTAAGCTTGTTTACACTGTGTGTAGTAAGAGTAATTTTTTTCGTCAATCTCCATCTTTTTATGCCAAATTAAATGTTGCAGTCTAGGGCAGGTCTTCAGACAATTTAGATGTTTGGTTGTGTGCACATGCCATTACTTAAATTGTGCACAACTGTGCCCAATTGATCCTTTGTTAATGGAGTTACCTCATTTGTGCATATGACTTAATTGCATGTATGAACTAGGGGCACAGTTGCATATGGATTTTTCTGCCTAACATATCTGATAATTTTACCAAACTAACAACTTCCAGGACAAGAATAGTTGTTTATAGAATACCAAAGTCAAGGTTGTTCCTACTTATTTTTATGTTTAGTTTGAAAGTTCTAGTTATAAGAACACAATGTGTTTACATGGTGCTTTTAATCATCACACCACTTTACAGTCATGAATGAATCTTGACAATATTCTGGGGGAAGAGGTGTATTCGTAGTTTTACAGATAGAGAAAGTTAAATAACGGAGTCCTAGAGGGAATTACTGTCAGCGCTGAGATTAGAACTTGGGAGTTCCTGGCACCCACTCCTGTACTCAAACTTCCAGACCACAAGCAGCTACTGTGCAAGCTTTTCTGCAGCATTCCTCTGAGGCCCCTCAGTCCTGACCTGCAACACCGCTGCTATTCCAGTCTGGAGCCTCTCATGAGTAGGGCTCACCAATTATGCCAAACTGAGTAGAGGTGTTTTACTGTAAGTCTAGATGCCTACCAGGGTCTAGCCCAGTGGTTTACATTGACCGTCTGCAGGCACGGCCGCCCGCAGCTCCCAGTGGCTGGGAATGGTGAACCGAGGCCACTGGGAGCTGCGGGCAGCGGTGCCTACCGATGGTCAATGTAAACAAACTGTCTCGCGGCCTGCCAGCGGATTACTTTGACGGGCCGCATGTTGCCTACCACTGGGCTAGACTGTAGTCATCAGATTCATTTTCATTTATATGCTAGGCCCCAATCCTGCAATGAGCTCCTGATAGGATACAAAATTTGAACCCTCTAGAATCAGTCCAGTTGTAATGAATCCTTGTGCTGAAGACCGAGTTACTAAATACATACACATCTGGGGAGCTCAGGCTAGAGCCTCGTCCTTCCACTCCAGAAACTAGGAGTGCCGATATCCTGTCCTTGGGCCAGCCACTAAAAGGCAGCAACACACACACGCCCAGTCAGTACTCAGAGTACTTTTTTTGTCCCACACAGATTCCTTGGTCCAGCACTGATGAGCAGTGAGTGATAGGGGTATGACCAGACTAGTGAATGACAGGGTGGCCAATTGCTAGCAAGAAATCAGGCAAACCTGGAGTAGCATGTTATCCTATAAACAAAAGACGGGGGGAAAAACAAGGAATCCCTCTGAAGAGTTTACTTAAGCACTTGTGGCTGTAATCCCTGGTCTGCTAAGGCCACTTTGCAACAAAAATGTCAAGGTTTTTATTTTTTTTCTCTTCATCTCCCCCTTCTCCCCCCCCCACCTTTCTTTCCACTTTTTCCTCTCCCCACCCATTTTTCTACTTCTAGTGGCAAGAAGGAAAAGGGGGGAAATGAATGTTCTCACAAAAACTTTGTTATAGTTAAAAATCCACTTCTTTCATCGAAAAAATGTTTTGATGAAAATTTTTCAATTAACTCTAGTTAACATGTTGGGTTTTTTAAATTCATTTTACCTTAAAAATCTTTTTCTGTGAAAACTATGGCATGAAGCAGAGGCATTTGATACTGTTACATTTGATTATAGCTTTTATTCTCTGTATTCAGAGTTGTTATATTGTCAAAGTGAGGTCAGATTTTGATACCTGTAGTTATCAGAATATCTTCTTTTCCTTATCTTTGCATTTCTAATGCTCTCATCATGGTATCTAGATACGAGTTACAAAATTAACAATTGCAGTAGTTGTGTCCATAAAGTGTCCACCACACTCTAATTCAGCCATTGTTAGTTAATACTTTGCATCTTTGTCCTCATTGTTTCTGAGAGGACAAAATGTTGGTTCTTACATTTGTGCTCTAAAACTGGTCAGGTTTGAGCTTGTCATCCTCTCTAATGGTAAAGAGTTGCACTGCCCCTTGCTTGCGAAAGTTCAGCATGGGATCTTTCAGCTTTTGTCGTCATAAATTAGAGCTGTCTCATTGTGTCAGGAATGGAGATCATGGGCAGGGTCTTACGTAAGGGTCTAAGGCAACTGTAGGGCCAGGACCTTGAAGTGGATCTGAAATGTAATGGGGAAGTTATTGGAGCACAGTGTGATGTGCTATTTTTTTATTAAAAGGTGGGTTCCTCTGTGTTGCTCCAGTGGAGGTTTCCCATGTGACCCTCAATAATTAGTCCAGGGTAGGATGTGCTGCATCGAACCTGGAAGTGACAAAAGCCTGGATCAATGGCTGGAGCTTTGAGAGGAATGAGCACACACTTCTGATTAGCTGAATTTGAAAGAAGGCATTTCTCTTCATTCTTGCTATCTGAGTATCCAGGAGCAATGTTGAGTCCAAGAGAACGTCAGGACTTCAGCGTTACCTTGGAGACTGGAAAGTGGAGGATGAGGACAGTGTCCCACCCAGCTCCTCAGAGGTCTCCTCTCTTTGTGTATCATCTCTTATCTGGATTGAGTCAGTCAGCTGTTTTTAATTCATATACATTTCTCTGACATGGTCACATCTAGGTGAGAGTATTGGCTGCGTCTGCTAAGAAAGAGAGGTTGAGCTGGGTATGTTTAGTGTACTAGTAGCATTGCAGCCAAAGGCTTTTCACAACCTCGCCTAGAGTTGTTCTCTCTATATGGTTAATAATACATAAAGAAATGGAATAATGACATTTTGATTCAGGTTGGAGGGGAAGTTTCCTGTACAGTTATTATTGCATATATGTGTTAATCTATAAAATCTTTAAACCCTCAAGAGCCTCAGCCTGCTATCAGTTTGCAGTCAGGGGCTTCCCTAGGAGTCCTACATACATGTGGAACAGTGTATCAGGCCTTATATTGCAGTATGTAGTCAGATTTTCTTAAACAGGGTCACCT